TCCTGCTGTGAAGGCATGTAAAGCTGGTCTGTTTAGGTCAGCATTGTCTTTCCAGGGAATTAGGTGGAGAAAGGTCTTCCCCAGAGTCTGAAATTCTCCAACTTGGAGATATCAGGCATTGAATCTGGGACCTGCTGCATGCAAATTATGGGCTCTACCACTGAGCTATCCAGGGCTTTTTTTTCTGGGGGAATATGCCGGAACAGAGTTCTGGACCCTATTCCACAAAATTCTTTTTGAAATATTTAATCGTTCATGAGTTTTCAGTATACAGACTGAAAACTTCATTTTCCTCTTGAGAGTTCAGGCACCTCCCCCCCCCCCCCAAAAAAAGCCCTGGCTATAACCCCAACTATTTTAAAGCTACCTGAAACGATGTGTTCACAACATGAGGTTATGGCCCCACTGCAGTCCTGATTGATATTTCCAGGGTTACAGAACTGGTAGCCTGTCTAATTGCAGGGGTAAAGTTTATGGAACATTTTATCACAGAGACGCAGCTGAAGAGTAATACCACTTTAGTCATAAATGGTCGCTTTCAGTTTCACATTGGAGATTCTAGCTGAGGGTTTTTCTAATCTTTTCTCATTTCTGTAGTTGATAAGCAGCAGAGACCGATGAATTTTTACAGCAAAGTCCCTTCTATATCAGCCAGAATCTGGTAGTGGGTGTTTGAGGGAATTACATGACTCAGAGGATCTTTATGTCCTAAACGTAAAGGTTTCCCTTGCTCGAAAGCCAGTCGAATCCGACTCTAGGGGGTGGTGCTCATCTCCGTTTCCAAGCCGATGAGTCAGCGTTGTCCGAAGATGTTTCCGTGATCATGTGGTCAGCATGACTAGACACCAAGTTGCATGGAATGCTGTTACCTTCCCACCGAAGCGGTACCTATTTATCTACTTGCAATTTCTTGCTTTCAAACTGCTAGCTTGGCAGAAGCTGGGACCAGAGACGGGAGCTCACTCTGTCACGCGGCACTCGGGTCTTGAACTGCTGAACTACCAACCTTCCAGTCCTGCAGTTCAGCATCTTAACCACTTGAGCTACCGCAGCTCTCTTTATGTCCTACTTCCCCTCTAATTTTGCCTGAAGGAAACTCCCAGACTGTCTTGAAATCACCTGCCATTTTGAGTATTTCCTCCACAGAAATCTGTCACTAACAACGGGGTGGGGAAAGTTGTGAAAGGGGAGACCAGGTGGGAGCAGATATGTTGCTTCCTAGACTGCTGTCTCTACTAGGAGTCTCTGGTATTCCCATAAGGAAAAAGAAAATCCACAAAGTACCTTGTTCTTAACATGGCCCAACCTCAACATGGATCAGTTTCTGGGTTCTCCCGGGCAGTTTGTCAGCCTGCCATTCCAGAATCCCAACAGATTAACAAGGTATTATTTTACCTCAGAACGTCCTCATTTCATAAAGGACCAGCTTAGTAAAGGTTTATGAAGCCGTTACCATTGTCTGGGGTCAATGGTGGTTGGGGGACTTTATGTCATTAAGTTTCCCATTCAGTCATTCCTCACATCTATATCCCAAACTTCAAATTGGAGGGAAAACATATTTTTTCCCCTCACAACAATCATGAGGTAAGTTCTGTGGAGAGAGCGATTAGCCTAAGCCAGGGGTGTCGAACTCATTTTTTATGAGGGCCGGAACTGACATAAATGAGACCTTGTTGGGCCAGGCCATGTGTGCCATAAAATATAATGCCAGGTAGTGGAGATATAAACTTTATAAAGGACACAAACACAAAGGGTTTTGCGTTTTTTTACTTGAAATAAAAACATGCTTAAAACATTAGCACTCTTGCAATATTTTGTTTATTTAACAGTGTCTGATAACTGACACCTCTTGCTCTAAATCATTGCATCAAAATGTCTGTGCTGTTGCAATCTCGAGTATGCTGTTCAGGTGTGCATCTGTAAGCTGCAAACCTACGATGACACAGCAGCAGCAGAACTGGAAGAAGAAGCAGAAGACAGACAGTTTCACTGCAGGCCTGAGAGAAGCCCTCTGGGGGCCTGATGTGGCCCCCGGGCCTCATATTTGACACCCTTGGGCTAAGGTCAATCCGTGAGCTTCATGGTTCAGGCAGAGATTCAAACCCAGATCTCCCCAATTCCAAGTCCATTTCTCTGACTACTACACCGTAACACAATCAAAACCTACACAGGAACAGTGGGATGTTTGTGTGGTGATGAGGAAACATAGCTGTTTTATACACTGCTAACTCCTATGCCACACCCGTGACAGATGAACTGGCTGCAACTCTAGGCAGATTTCGAGTCACAGGAAAAAATAATAGCCAAATAGGTAAATGAGGAGAACACACTCCATTACTGTGATTGCTACTGGTTTTACTGGCTCTGATTCTATAGTTCAAGGTAGCCTGACTCACAGGTATGTAGGAGATTAAATTTTTCCTGGCACGTGGATAAAAGAGATGGGGAAAAGCTTCCTCAGCTAAATTTTTTTGCATGCAGTTGTTGTTAAAGGCACTGCCAGGTAAACTGTTGGCAGTCCTATTAGGTATAAACTCCGTACCTATCCGTAACAAAATGGGGGAGGAGAATACCAGTCTAGGTGGAAGGTATGAAGGATAACGGGTAATACAGGCCCTAGTTAGTGAATTGCACTCAGTCCGTTGATCGATCAGTGCTTTTAAGAGCCAATTTGGTGTAGTGGTTAAGTGCGCGGACTCTAATCTGGGAGAACCGGGTTTGATTCCCCACTCCTCCACTTGCACCTGGCTGGATGACCTTGGGCAAGCCGTAGTTCTGTCAGAGCTGTTCTTGAAAAAGAGCAGTTTCTGTCAAGGCTCTCTCAACCCCACCTACCTCCCAGGGTGTCTGTTGTGGGGAGGGGAAGGGAAAGGAGTTTGTAAGCCGCTCTGAGACACCTTAGGGTAGTGAAGGGCGGGGTGTAAATCCAATCTCTTCTTCTCTTCTTCTTCTTCTTAATGGGAATGAATAATTTCCTTTAAATACAAGCATATGTTTTTAAATGGAAGGCGAAGAAGAGGAGGGAAAGACAGAAGAAGGAAATCAGACGGAGCAAAATAGCATCATCTTTAAAAAAAAAAAAAAATCAGGACTGTGGAATCTTTATTTTTGTTTCAGCTGCAGTCTTGCCCGGTTCTTGGCTCACCATATATTTGTAAAAGACTTTGCTTGGGGTATATACTGTTCTCTGCGGACCGACCATAAATTACATTGCTGTGTCACCAAAGGAATTTGTTTAAAGATCTGAGGAAATTGATAGCTGTGTGGAATTGCTGGCCCATCTGTCTCCAGCCACACATTCTCCATCTTCTTCTGCTTCTCCTCTTTTTAGCTTGTCTTGTCGAAATGCCTTGTGGCTCTTTGGCTTATAAATCAGATGGATGCTTAAACTGATGCCTTCTCCCCACCCTTCCCTCTGTATCAAACTACACAGCAAAGCAAAACGCAGCAGAGAGAAATCCTTGGATCTCAGAACTGCAGCAAGGATTGTGAGATCCGTGACTTCCGGATGCGTGGCTCTTCCCATTTGGAAATGTTTGCTTGGCTTGACTTGTGTGCCATTTCTTCAGACTTCCCTTACTCCTTGGCATTGGCTTTTCACATTTCTAAAATCATGGGATGAATTTAAATGTCCAGGGGACATCCAAGAAAGTCTTCTTATATCTTAGGTCTGAAAGTGTTGCGTCCAGGGGTCATTTGGGGGGGGGGACGCGGGGGGACGCCATCCCCCCGGGTGAGGTGCGGGAGGGCAGGGCCTGGAGCTCCCTGCTGGTGCCCGCTGGAGGTCGCCGCCGGCTGTGGGGAGGACACGCTTCTGGTGATGTCAGGGGGTGTGGCATATGCTAATGAGTTATGCTAATGAGTCCCCCTAGCTCTTTTTCTACGAAATGGCCCCTGCGTCAATTACATGCTGGGCTTTTCAGTGTGAAATCATGACCAGGTAAGATTATCTGAAGTGCTGTGCTGGATTAGGCCAGCATTTTGCTTCCAGCAGTGGACGGCCAGATAAAGTCACACGTTGCGGCTGTGACCTTGCGATTAGGTGTATGCTTGGCGATTCCACTGAAATCAATGGGACTTTAGCACACATGACCAGCTAGCACAAACAGGATGCAAAGAAGTTATAAATATATTTAAATAAATAGATAAGTATTTTCAAGTGCTATAGGCATGAGAATGAGGCTATACTCCTCCTCATGATGGGTTCAATCTAGCCAACTTTATCACTTAGTCTCACCTTGTTCCCAGGGGTCATTTCATAGAAAAAAAGGTGCAGGAGCTCATTAGCATAACTTATGCAGGGCTATTTTTGGGCAGGAATGCACAGGATCAGAGTTCCGGCTGGCTCCCGAGTTGGCCACGCCCAGCAGGAACTCATTAGCATAATAGGCCACACCCAATAGCAGACACTCATTAGGATTGGCTACATTAGGGGTGTGTGGCCTAACATGAAAAGGAGTTCCTGCTACAAAAAAAGCCCTGGGTTTTGACAACAAACAAGGTAAACAGCATAAGAATGGAAAGGTGGGTGTGGCTGGATGACCACACTTCTGGTAACATGGGGGTGTGGCCTAATGTGCTGATGAACGGTGCTGTCAGGGGTGTGGCCTAATATGCTAACGAGTTTTTGCTGTTGGGTGTGGCCTATTATGCTAATGAGTTCCTGCTGGGCTTTTTCTACAAAAAGAGCCCTGCATTAGCATAACTTATCTGCATATGCCACATCCCCTGACATCACCGGAAGTGTGTTAGAAGGCAATACCCACCCCTCAGGCTCCACTGGACTGTTTTGGATTGCTAGCTGTTTGGGGGGGGATGCGCAGATCTGCCCTCACAGAGGAGAGAGAGCTTGTACCTGAAGGGGGGGGCTCTGCAACTTATCTGGCTGCTTCTTCCTCATCATGGCCCGACTGAGGGCTGCTGGGAGCAGGGGGTGGGGCTTGTTGCATGTGCCCGCCCTCTGCACTCCTTACTGCCGGAGCTCCGCTCCTGTGCGCTCCCGCAGGAAATGACCCCTGCTTGTTCCCCTCTGTATATACCCCACACTGCTTTTGTCCATGCTGGTCCCATGATCCTCAGGATAGCCAGTTTAGGTGATCAGAGGGGACACTGCTGTCCTTTTTTAGCAGCAGAAAAGCTGGTTGACTCCAACCCCAATGTATATGTGCACACACAAACATAAGCACCCAACCTCTTCTTCCTTCTCTAGTATTTATGAAGTATTTGCTGTGTGCATAGACACAGCCTGCCTCCTGCCAAAGTTATCACCTGCAGACTGTCCATCGTCCGCTCCTTGTCTTTAACCTTTTCTTTCTTCCTGCTTAAGGACTTGCTGGTGGGAGACAGGACCGAGTTCAGCCATTTTGTGAAAGACCCTTTCTATGTGGTGGATGCTAGTACACGGTATGTAAATCTAACTCTGTTTCAATGTTCTGAAACGTTTTGAGTTCTGTTCTGCGCTGGTAAAGAAAATAATTTTCAAGCATACTGACTCTTCTAGACGACATGGCCACTGTCGTGTAAAAAAGCTTGCATAATCTTTAATTAATTTTTTAGGACCCCGGTCACACGGAGCATTAGGCACACTAGAGAGACGGAAGATAGGCGGATTTCCCGGGCGCGATCTCACCGCCACATCTGGGAAGCATAGAGCTCCCGTGGCGCACCAGAGGCTTCTCACTGAAGATGCGGGGTAAAAAACTAGTACCTCGGAGGTACTAGTTTCCGGAAACCGCGGGGCAAGGGCGGGTGTCTGATCACGTTTCCGGTGGTAGTTCCGGCGCCCGCCCATGTCCCCTCGTAAAAAGGTGGGGTTTTTTCCAAGTCTCCACGGATGCGCACAAGCACCCAATGGAGCATGCGCACATTTCAGTTAAAAAAAAAAAAACAACCCCGTTTGCCGCGCCGCTCCGCTTCTTTGCTGCGTCATGTGATCGGCACCTCCCCCCTAACCATGGGAGCTCGACGGGACCTCAACCGCCCAATCGCGCGTTATTTTGCTCCAGGGCAAACAGCCCCGCCCCCCCCCCCCCCGCATTTTCCTGCCCGAGTGGCCGAGGCGAAACAATACTTTATTTCATTCAACCGTGTGTACTGAACAGTATTCTTTTAACAAGGACCTAGTGGAAAGTGGTGTAGGATGGTTGCTTTTTTAATCAACAGAAATTGGGTCAGGAGTCAGGACAGACATGAAGCTGCCTTGTACTGAATCAGACCCTCGGTCCATCAAGGTCAGTGTTGTCTACTCAGGCCGGCAGCGGCTCTCCAGGGTCTCAGGCTGAGGTCTTCCCATCACCTGTCACCTGCTCCTTAATTGGGGAGGGTGGAGATTGAACCGGGGACTTCCTGGGTACAAAGCAGAGGCTCTTCCACTGAGCCGCAGCCCCTCCCCAGGAAATGATGTCATCTGTTGTATTCCCCTTTCAGTTCTTCGCATTTTGTTTTCCCTGTATGAATGAAGCGTATTCCTGAATAATAAGAGAACCAAATACCTCTGAGATGACGAACCCAGAACAAGAACCCCGAAACTAATCAGAAACCTTTAAAACAGATTAAAAGTTTTCCTGTAAATAGCTCTGGAAAGCCGTCTTTTGGGCTGAGTAATGAGAGAGGTAGTCAGCGCAGCCCTGAAAGGGTCTCTTTTTAAACTAAACAAGCTGGGGAAGTTCCTGATATCTATTTTAAAACGCTTAAACGTTCATACCATACATGTTCATACCATTACAACCAGTTATAAATGGAGCCGGGCTGCAAGATAATCTGTTGGCATCACCAAGGAACTGTTCTCGGGTGGGGAAAACCCCATCAATGCGACTACTTCTTTGTTTGCAATGACAGCTGCTGCGGCCAAATGCAGAATCTGCATCTTCGCTTCAGCAGGGTAGCCATGTTGGTGTGCACTAGCAGACCTAAATTCAACTCCTGTAGCGCCTTAGAGACCAAGAAGATGTTCAGGGTATAAGTTTTCAAGGGTCAAAGCTCTCTCCGTCAGATAACGAAGATATCTGACGAAGTGACCTTTGACTCTCAAAAGCTCATACCAAAGGTGCTACTGGAGTCAAATCTACCTCTACGGGTTTACCCCGTTGGTGTTATAAACCAGGGCTTTCTTTTTCTGGAAAAAAAGGTGTCGAAACTCTCAAGAGGGAAGTGCAGTGTTCAGTCTGTACGCTGAAAACTCGTGAACTTTTAAACATTTTTTAAAGCATTTTGTCGATGAGGTTCCGGATCTCTGTTCCAGTGTGTTCCCCCAGAAGAAGAGCCCTGTTATAAACACAGACTTGGTGCTCGATTCAGCAGCACCCCGGCTAATAATAGGTTGGGTCCTACCACTGTGATCTGCTAAGTGAACCGAGCCCGCAGCTATGGTGGGGCCTTTTGGAGCCCCGCCCCCTTAATTAAAAGGCACGGCCCACAAAAAGCCATGCCAAAAAGCATTTTTTAAAATGTTTATTAAGTCGCACTGGTTTAAGTTAATTCACAAGTAAATTAAGAAGAAGAAGAGGAGGAGATTGGATTTATACCCCGCCCTTCACTTGGAGTCTCAGAGCGGCTTACAAACTCCTTTCCCTCCCCCTCCCCGCAACAGACACCCTGTGAGGTAGAAGAAGAAGAGATTGGATTTATACCCCGCCCTTCACTACCCAAAGGAGTCTCAGAGCGGCTTACAATCTCCTTTCCCTTCCCCTCCCCACAACAGACACCCTGTGAGGTGGGTGGGGCTGAGAGAACTCTGACACAAACTGCTCTTTTCCAAGGACAGCGGTGCCAGAGCTTGTGACTGACCCAAGGTCACATCAGCAGGTGCAAGTGGAGGAGTGGGGAATCAAACCCAGTTCTCCCAGATTAGAGTCCGCGCACTTAACCACTACACCGAACTGGCTCACCAAATTAACTTAATTTAGCTGCCCCCTACGAAATGCCCCCCGACAAAAAAACCCCACCCTGGCTACGGGCCTGAAGTGAACCATTCTTCCAGAGAGAAAATCCTTGTCTTCCATAAGACCGCCTTCCCCTGAAGACTTCGTTGTTACACTTGTATTAGGATACATCCTAAACTGAGCATAGACAACAAGGCTTTTGCAGTGACGGTTGTTTTTATGATTGTTTTAAAATGTTGTTTTTAATTATCTAACTTACATGTTACTGTTTAATTATTTAACTTATATGTTACTGTTGTCCTGACTTGTGTGACCTTGTAGCCAGCCCTGAGTCCCTTCGCGGGGAGGGTGGGATAGAAATCGGATTAAATATAAATAAATAAATAAACTTTTTGGTTCTTTACAACTGGAGATGTGTCCGGAAATGAACTCCGGAGAACATCTTAAGATGTGAACTCCACAACAGCAGTTATCAATCAGAGCACAGAGGCCTGGATGCTTCTTGCGTCCATGAAAACATCTTGCTTCTCTTCTCCTCCACCCCAGTGAATCAGTGTTTCATAAGTCTTGATTCACTGGTTCTTGTCTCCTGTCCATGAAGCATCTGCCTTGACATCCACACAACGGGAGCAGGAAACGGGCTATTAAAGTAATGTACGTCACTGCCAAAGCAAACATTCCTGAGCTCTTCCTGGCATCTTAAAATCTTTAGGATGGTTTTACTACATCAGCAATTTATGTGTGTTATCATGCGCATTTCTCTGGCAGAAAGCTTTTAGTACCAGAATGGTTAAACACGATTTTCCAAAATGGGACCACTGAGTGGAAAAACAGGCAGACTAGTTAAATATGTAAATGACAATATATTCAGATAGACTCAGGTAGGTAGCCGTGTTGGTCTGAAGCAGAAGAACAAAGTTTGAGTCCAGTGGCACCTTTAAGACCAACAGAGTTTTATTCAAGGTACTAGGAATAAGGCTCTTTGTGGAAATAAATACAACGAACTCTAGAAAGAGGCTCTGGGTGGGTGCCCTGGCTTTGAGCACTCAGTGTCAATTTGCTGTGGTGACCTCAGCAGGGTATAATGACACCGAGTGCACCATTTTCTCCAGAGGAACTGATCTCTGCTACCTGAAGAACAGTTGTAACTTTGAGTGATCTCCAGCCCTCACCTGGAGATTGGTAACAATGGTTCCATGGGCTGGTTTGGAGGGTGGAGTCTATGGCATTGTACCTGTCTGAGGTCCCACCCCTCCTCAAACCCCACCCTCTCCAGGCTCCACCCCTCAAATATCCAGGAATTTCCCAACCTGGAGTTGGCAACCCTATCTACTTCCCAGCCAGCCATCAACCTACCTTGATCTGCCTCTCTGACTTCAGCTTTCCATCTCCTCCCCCCTCCCTCTCGGGGAGCAGTTGTAATTCTGAGTGATCTCCAGTTCCCACCTGGAGATTAGCAGCAATGGTTCCCTAGGAGGGACTGTTGGTTTGGAGAGTGGAGTCTATGGCATTGTACCTGTCTGAGGTCCCACCCCTCCTGAAACCTACCCTCTCCAGGCTCCATCCCTCAAATCTCCAGGAATTTCCCACCTGGAGTTGGCAACCCTATCTCCTCCCCAGCCAATCATCAACCTACCTTTTCCCCCCTCACTCTTCAGCTTTCCAACCCCCCTCCCACCTGCAGCCTCTACCGTGCTCTAAAACCCTGACTGCTATGTCACATTGGCTGTCATACAGGGGCCATCTCAGCAGGATATAAGGACACAGAGTCCACCATTTTTTCCAGGGGAACTGATCTCTGCCATCTGGAAAGCAGTTATAATTCTGAGTGATCTTCAGCCCTGACCTGGAAATTGGCAACAATGGTTTCTCCCAACAGGCACTAATGGGAAATGTATTTTACCTCAAAACACATTTTACCTCAGAACAGCAACAGCAAACTGTTTAGAATGTTAGAGGCAAAGGCCAATGAGGCCGCATATGCAAATAACCTCTGTGTTCTGACTGGCTATGGGGGTGGGGGACAGCAAACTGTTTAGAATGTTGGAGGCAGGACTTAGGCAACGCAGCCAGTGGATAGGGAGACCCTCTGAATGACAGATCATGGAGCCAACTGATTTGGAAGTGTGTTGGAATGTTCAGGGGAGCCCATGACCAAAACAGAATTATATATAAAGAGAGATAAGCTTTCATGTGCAAGTACACTTCTTCAGATACAGTGAAATGGAAGTTACCAGTCTATACATATAGGTAGAGGGTGAGCAGTAAATTAGCATACAACATAATGACGATGTTTTAACAGATTCAAGGACCAAACAGGAATAACAAGCTTAGTGTATATGGTTACCATGTGTTTGGGTTTAAAACACCTCCATGCTTGAGAGGAGATGGATGGAGCTCAGCTAATTACTTTCAGCATTCCACAGTTAAGGATACATCTGCCCATCAATCTCCAATTCTGACATATTTATTTCCTTCATCATGTGTTCCCCTGGAATTAACTCGAAACAAATGGCAACCAAATAAACTAAGCTTGTTATTCCTGTTTGGTCCTTGAATCTGCTAAACATCTTCATTATGCTGTATGCTAATTTGCTGCTCACCCTCTACCTGTATGCATGGACTGCTAACTTCCATTTAAATGTATCTGAAGAAGTGTGCATGCACACAAAAGCTTATATATTCAGATGTGAATCTTGGGAGGACAAGCCCTGCCTCTGAACATACTGATTAGCCAGTGTCAAAGAGAAAGTTGATGAATGGTGGTTAACTGTTAGTACACGGAATGTTCACAGACATTTAGGGTGCCTTGGATGAAATCCCCTTCTGTGGTCCTTTAGAAAGCTAAGCCATTATGGTGTAAGTGTACGTGTCCTTACAGGGATTCGCAGTTGGAAGAAAGAGCATGTTTCTAGCCCTTACGAAAGACAACACTGAAAGAAAACCATGCTGGTTAAAAGCTTAGAGGCTTGGAGGGACCAGTGTGTGGAGTTTCAACAGGTTAAACGTGGTGGGAACTTCATGTGCCTTCTTTCACTTCCCTTCGTGCACACTTAACCGTTTCTCATGCATGTTTTTAGCCCGTCTCCTCCAAAACCTTAGCTCTTGATAAAAAAACCTAAAAGTTCCCAGATCAGCAAGGACACAGATATTGCAGTGGGAGCATATGCAGATGTTCTCTCTCTGCTTGGAATTTTTTATTTTCATAGCTGGATTTGTGCTTGGAGGGTTTGGTTTCTGTGTTTGTTTTTTAAATGCAGAAGTCTCGACTGGGTATTTATATAAAACTGACATGCCGGTTTGATTTAGTGTCTCTTTCAAGATTCTATTTTTACACCCCCCGTCCTAGTTCGTTCTGCAGTAAAGAGAGGAGTCAGATGGAGAAGACGGCGTTTGCCCGCTACTACCCTCACCCTCAGCATAGCAGCGGGAGCGTCAGTAACGCATCCCCACTGAATGACGGCCCGAAAGCCCCGGATCTCCTCAAACATCCCAGCAGAATGTCAGCGTTCGCCCCACTGCCGTTGGATACAAACAGTCCCTGCTCTGACCCTAAGCAAAGCTCCAGGCCGGTTGTTCCTTCCAGATCTGGTCAGCCCACCACAAGCAATGCTGGGGATTCCGCACCAGCTCTTGTAGATTCTCAGGCTGTTGGAGAAGGCCGCGAAGTAAGATGGCCGCCCAGACCTGACAGAGATGACAGTGGTAGAGTTCAAGCCCAGGTTCTGGACAATGGGGGCGGCCCTCTCAGAGATTCTGCAGAAGAGAACCCTTGCCTATGGAAGGCCGCCGTGCCTCAGAGGCACCTCCCAACAAACGCCAAATGGGTTCATTCGGTCAAAGACGACAGCATCCCAAAGAACGCCGTATCTCCTCAGGCATTTGGGCAGAAGGTCTTCCAGCGCTGGCAGAGCCTTCCCTCTCAGAGCAGCTCTTCCTCTGAGCCAGAGACTCTTTCCGGCCAAGGAAGACTCTCACTCCGCATCTCGGAGTCGTACCTGCAGATGACCCCTCCGCCGTTCCATCGGGAAGAAGACGACGACGACGTTTTCATCCAAGAGGCGGAGCCTCCTGCCGCCGTCACCGAATCCAAGCGTTTGTCCCCTCTGCTTCCGCCTCCACCTCTACTTCCCGTATGGAGTTCCAGCACTACGGCAAGCTCTGCAGATGAGTTTCCACCTTCTAGTGTCGCTGCACTGGAACTGGATGAATCGGCAACGGACAAAGCTGCACGTCTCGGAGAAAAGGGGTCGCCGGAAAGGTGAGGGAATCGCTATTAACACCCTTCCTTCCCCTCACTTCCTGTCCTTGCATCTGTTGGGGGGAGGGGGATGATAGTGCTTCACTTTCTTAGGGTTCCAGTAAAAAGAAGAATACGCAAAGCCCACTGCATTGGTCAGGCCGCACCTGGAGTATTGTGTGCAGTTCTGGAGGCCTCACTTCAAAAAGGATGTGGGCAGAATGGAGCGGGTGCAGAGGAGAGCGACGAGGATGATCGGGGGCCTGGAGACCAAGCCCTGTGAGGAAAGGCTGAGGGACTTGGGAATATTCAGTCTGGAGAAGAGGAGGTTGAGGGGGGGGACAGGATTGCTCTCTTGAAGTATCTGAAGGGCTGTCACTTTGAGGAGGGCAGGGAGCTGTTCCTGGGTTTAAATTAAGGGCGGGAAAGTACCAGCTGGATATCAGGAAAAACATTTTTACAGTCAGAGTTGTGGCACAGTGGAATCAGCTGCCTAGGGAGGTGGTGAGTCCTCAAGCAGCGGCTGGACAAACACTTGTCAGGGATGCTCTAGGCCAGTGATGGCGAACCTTTTAGGGACCGAGTGCCCAAACTGCAACCCAAAACCCACTTATTTATCGCAAAGTGCCAACACGGTGATTTAACCTGAATACTGAGGTTTTACTTTAGAAAAAACAACTCATACATTAACTTAAGATGATCCGGATAAAGTAAGGAAAGCAATCCCAAATGCTTTCATTTACTTAAAATTATTTGGCAGAGAATTCGACACTTTAATGATGGTCTGGGCCTGGCTGGGGCGATGGCACGCGTGCCCACAGAGAGGGCTCTGAGTGCCACCTCTGGCACCCGTGCCATAGGTTTGCCACCACTGCTCTAGGCTGATCCTGCATTGAGCAGGGAGTTGGACTTGTGGGCCTGTATGGCCCCTTCTAACTCTGTGGCTCTGTGATTCTATGATCTGCTTGCCCCCGAAACGAAATGGGTTTGCTTCTCAAAATTTCCCTCTGCAAATGCCGAGATAAGATATTCTGCGTTGTCAAAATATTTGATATTTTTGTATTTAACGTTGGATGATATTTGATTTCAGCTTGTGACACTTGTTTTGGGGTAGACGTTGATCATTGGACAGATAATTGTATTTTAGAAGTTGATTGTGTTTGATAGTTCATGTGCACCAGCCCTTCCTTTCTGACGGTTGCCACGTGATGCGACGCGATGCAATGGGAGCTTGTGATATTTTATGTGTGAGTCTGCCCCACTGCAAACAATCAAGAGAGGTCGGCAACGATCAAGCTTCGAAGCAGAATTCCACATTCAGAGTTGAATAGTGACCCTGAGGAAATTTTTGCCAAATTCTGAATATTGAGATATCAATAGGTAGCCTAGATAGGTAGATATTGATTGGTTGATGGGTTGCAACCAGTGTTCCCTCTAAGCGGAGGTAGTGTGAGCCAGCTCACAGTTTTTTAGCCTCCAGCTCACACATTTTTGTCTTAGCTCAGGAAGGAGGGCTCCAGAGCAAACTGATTTATGCAGCAGCCACACCGCTCGCTACTTTAATGCCAGTAGCTCACAAAGTAGAATTTCTGCTCACAAGACTCCACAGCTTAGAGGGAACATTGGACTTGCAACTCTGTCCGAAACTAAATGCAAAGGTGAGCATTGCTAGCTAAAAACTACCATTTCCGGCAAATTCTTCTAAGCTTAAAAATGAAGTACAGAACTTCCGAATAAAGGTCATTAGGATCCAAGTACATTGGTGGTGGAAGACATGATCAAGTGACAGCTGACCTATGGTGACACTGTTAAGGGTTTTCAAGATGAACAGGGGTGGCTTGCCATTGTCTGTCTCTGCGTAGCAACCCTGGCCTGCCTTGGTGGTCTCCCATCCAAGTACTCACCGGGGCCGACCATGCTTAGCTTCTGACATCTGATGCTATCTGGGCCATCCAGATCAGGGCTCGAGTGCACTGGAGGTCATTAAAACAATTTCCTTGGGGAAGTACCTTGTATTCTGTTGTACCTAGTTAACAATTTAGCCTCAGGCCTCAGGAGCTAAGCAGGGTCAGCCCTGGTTAGTACTTGGATGGGAAGCCACCGAGCAGGTCCAGGGTTGCTACCAGGGGTTATTTCCTGCAGGAGCGGAGCTCCATCAGTAAAGAGCCCAGGGGGCGGGCACATGCAACAAGCTCCGCCCACTGCTCCCAGCAGCCCTCAGTCAGAGCAAGAAGCAGCCAGGTAAGTTGCAGAGCCCCCCCCCCCAAGCCCCCTGGTCCAAAACAGTCCAGTGGCACCTTTAAGGCAAAGTTGTAAATTGTTCATTTTATTGTAATTTATTGTTGGCACCTTTAAGACCAAGTTTTATTCAGGTACTAGCTCTCCCTCCTCTGCAAGGACACATCTGCACGCCCCCCCCCCATAGCTAGCAATCCAAAACAGTCCAGTGGAGCCTGAGCGGTGGGGGTTGCCTTCTGACACACTCCCGGTGATGTCAGGGGGTGTGGTGTATGCAAATGAGTTATGCTAATAAGCTCCTGCACCTCTTTTTCTACAAAATGACCCCTGGGTTGCTACGCAGAGGAAGGCAATGGCCTATCACCTCTGTCCTCCTCTTGCCTTGACCTGGAAGGCCCAGGTCTCATCAGGTCTCAGGAGCTAAGCAGGGTTGGCCCTGGTGAGCATTTGGAAGGGAGGCCGCCAAGGAAGTCGCTACCCAGAGGCAGGCCATGGCGAACATACTCTGCATATCTCTTGCCTTGAAAACCCTACAGGGGCTGCTGTAAGTCAGCTGCGACTTTGTTATATATACAAATTGATTTTCCAGTCAAAAAGAGAAGTCAAAATGAGGAGGAATGTTCATTGATTTTAATTGTAATTAGAACACCTGAAAACAGTTGGGCCAGACGCAGCCTATCAAAGATTGACGGCTTTCTGAGCACAATAAAGAAAGTACATGAAATCTTATACCCAGAGTGACATAGCTAAGAAGATAACATTCAGAATTCAGAATTGGTCACAAAGAACAATGCATCATTTGAGTAAGAGTCCACTCATTGGTCAAATATGAAGAAAGGTGTGCCTACATAATATCTTAAATGTTTAGTTAACCTAACCTGAATAATATTGGCCAAGGATTCTTCATACCTAAACAAAGGTGGTTTTTTTCTGATATGAAGCTAAAATCCCTTTTTAACCCGGACACTGCCATGTTTTACCCTAAACAAATAAAAAAGCATGAACTCTCTACCTAGCTTCTATACCAAAAGAGTGTTGTTTTCTTGTCTAGTAGCATCAACTAGAAAAATACTCTAATCTACAAGGGCTCTTTTTGTAGCAGGTACTCATTTGCATATTAAGCGACACACCCCTAATGTTGCCAATCCTCCAAGAGCTTACAGTAGCTCCTGTAAGAGGAGCTCTGTAAGCTCTTGGAGGATTGGCTACATTAGGGGTGTGTGGCCTAATATGCAAAGAAGTGCCTGCTACAAAAAGAGCCCATTTAATAGGCTTCCGTTACATCCTAATAAAATCTGACTTATGAGAACAATCTATAAAACCAGAGAAATGTGACTAATCTGAAAGGAAAAATCATTATATTCCCATTCATACTACAACTTGACGGCACTTTCCACCACCGGTATACAATGACTTTCTTCCCCTGCTCATTAACAGGAACTTCAAAAGATTTCCCAGGAGCCTCGGCGAGACGGAGAAAGCGGGATCGAATGCCACCATCAGCAGGAGTAGCTGGGTCGCTCCAACTCTGCTCGGGACCTCAGGACCCAAAGGAAATCGCCCTGTGCCTTCCCTGGAAGCACAACAGCAGCCGCTAGCCGCTCGAGAACCTGTTATCGAGGCCCCCGTCAGTCAGCCTAGAGAGCCCGTCGTCACGAGTAAGGCATACGAAAACGGTGGGCTCGGCCTCGAGGGTCGCTCGGGGAAGGAGAAGACTCCGGAAGACATCAAGGAAGAGGCCTTGGCCAAGGAGATCGTCCACAAGGACCGGTCCCTGGCCGGCATCCTGGATCCGGACGCCAAGATGAAGACCACCATGGACTTGATGGAAGGGATATTCCCTAGTGGAGCCAGGACATCTAAGGAGGACAAAAGGAGGACGGTTACGCAGAAAAGAACGGCGGGTCCTTCTGCCCCCCAGGATGACAAGTGGGTACCATTTTCTTTCACTCCCACCGGTTTAGCAGTTCTTCTCCTTCCTTCCCCCTGCCAACTCTTAACTGGGAGCCAGTTTGGTGTAGTAGTTGAGTGCACAGACTCTAATCTGGGAGAACCGGGTTTGATTCCCCACTCCACTTGCAGCTGCTGGATGACCTTGGGCAAGCCGTAGTTCTGACAAGAGCTGTTCTTGAAAAAGAGCAGTTTCTGTCAGGGTTCTCTCAGCCCCACCTACCTCCCAGGGTGTCTGTTGTGGGGAGGGGAAGGGAAAGGAGTTTGTAAGCCACTCTGAGACTCCAAGTGAAGGGCGGGATACAAATCCAATCTCCTCCTCCTCTTCTTCTTCGCATCAGGTCATCAGAATAACATCACAGTGGGCCTTTGGAAGCCTCAGGTTGTGTGAGTCTTTTCCCCCTGACATCTGGGCCTTTGCTTACACAGTCAGAGGCCCTGTGATTCCTATACAAGTTGTTAATTCACGGGAGTGTCGGGGTTTTTTGCTTTGTTTTTTTATTTCCAAAGGGGCAGGGCATGTCAATTCAGATGTGGCTGGAAGGGCATATATTCTGGCTTCCCATCAGTAGAGAAGGAAAGATGACGACAGGCTTAAATGGTAGTGAAGGTGCAGAGAGTGTCCTTAGTCAAAACAGCATCGAGAATCATTCAACCCGCCTCACCGTGAGAGGTTGGTGGCATCTAGTTGGAGCACCCAGGGGTCATTTCCTGCAGGAGCGCACAGGAGCGGCGCTCCGGCAGTAAAGAGCCCAGGGGGCGGGCACATGAAACAAAACCCACCACCTGCTCCCAGCAGCCCTCAGTCAGAGCAAGAAGCAGCCAGGTAAGTTGCAGAGCTCCCTCCAGCCCCGCGGCCCAAAACAGTCCAGTGGCACCTTTAAGACCAAGTTTTATTCAGGGGCAAGCTCTCCCTCCTCTGCGAGGACAGATCTGCACATTCCCCCCCCCCCCCCCCCAGCAATCCAAAACCACCCATCGGAGCCTAGCCTGAGTGGTGGGTGTTGCCTTCTGACACACTTCCGGTGATGTCAGGGGGTGTGGCATATGCTAATAAGTTATGCTAATAAGTTATGCTAATGAGCTCCGTCTCTTTTTCTACAAAATGACCCTTGGGAGCACCCGTATGGTACCCAGCTGTAACAACTCCAAGGCCTACCTGGTCAGCCCAAAGGCAAAACTCTGACTAAGCCACTGTAAGGAGCTTCATTCCTGGTTTTTATTTATATTTTTAAGTCTCCCAACCTTCGGCACTTTTATAACTTTTTTGAAGAAGCCAGGCCTTCAGCCTCATTAAAAAATACACTTTTGTGGAAGGTATTTGCAACACGGTGGTTCAGAGACGGCCTACTGCCACAGCCCCCACAGTCCAGCGTGAGCACAGCTGTACATACACCGCGGGGTTTTATTTGTCAAGTGGCAAAGCAGGGCCCCGCAGATCACTTCCCATTCCCTTGGGGCCACCCTTACAGTCGTCACAATATGTCCCCCAGAAGCGTTTTGGTGGTGAAAAGGGCTGAGAGCTCACGACCAACTTACGGCAGCCATGTAGGGTTTTCAAGGCAAGAGATGAACAGAGTTGGTTTGCCTGCCTCGCCGTAGCCACTGGGGCTGACCCTGCTTAGCTTCCGAGATCTAACAAGGTTGGGCTAGCCTGGGTTGTCCAGGTCAGGGCCAAAGGTGTATTAAAGGTAAAGGTCGGTACTTCAGCAGTTCAAGACCCGGGTGCCGCATGACGGAGTGAGCTCCCGTCTCTCGTTCCAGCTCCTGCCAACCTAGCAGTTCGAAAGCAAGAAATGGCAAGTAGATAAATAGGTACCCCTTCGGTGGGAAGGTAACAGCGTTCCGTGCGCCTTGGTGTTTAGTCATGCCGGCCACATGACCACGGAGAAGTCTTCGGACAGCACTGGCTCTTCGGCTTTGAAACGGAGATGAGCACCGCAACCCTAGAGTCGGATTCGACTGGCTTTCGAGCAAGGGAACCTTTACCTTTAAAGGTTTCCCTTGCTTGAAAGCCAGTCGAATCCGACTCTAGGGTTGCGGTGCTCATTCCAAGCTGAAGAGCCAGCGCTGTCCGAAGACGTTTCTGTGGTCATGTGGCCGGCATGAGTAGACACCAAGGCGCACGGAACACTGTTACCTTCCCACCGAAGCGGTACCTATTCATCTACTTGCAATTCCTTGCTTTCGAACTGCTCGGTTGGCAGGAGCTGGGGCCAGAGACAGGAGCTCACTCCCTCACGCGGTACACTCGGGTCTTGATCTTAACCTCTGAGCCACCGCATATGAAGAGTTCCTAAATGAGAGCATCAATAATAGTGGAGAATCTTTCCTGAAAGGTAGGCTGACACACACACACACACACCGGTGTCTTCTCTTCCCTTGAGGTTTTTGGCCACAAGGGGGGGGGGGGCAGGTGTATTCTGGGTTGCATTTTCAGTTCAGGCAGGGCGGCAGTGAAGCCTCGGTCCATCAAGGTCAGCACTGTCTACTCAGACGGGCAGGGGCTCGCCAAGGTCTCAGGCGGAGGTTTTCACATCACCTACTGCCTGGCCCCTTTTTTTAAAACTGGAGGTGGTGGGGACTGAACCCGGGACCTTCTGCGTGCCAGATGCTCCACCACTGAGCCACAGCCCCTCCCACACCAGGCACGGGCTGAGCACAAGGCCCCAGAGCGGGGTCTTCTGTAATGCACCAGGTTCCTCATCAGATGAATCCGTGCGGAAAGTGTTGCTTAGAATCATAGAGCTGGAAACGACCTCCAGGGCCATCAACCCCCTGCAGTACACAAGGCAGGAAATTCACAAATGCCTCCCCCACACACACACACACACCCAGTGACCCCTGCTCCGTGCCCAGAAGATGGCAAAAACGCTCCAGGATCCCCAGCCCAACTGACCTGGAGAAAAATGGCTTCCTGACGCCCAAGTGGTGATCGGCATTTCCCTGGGGGTGTGAGATAGGGGCCACGGGAACGAAGCCCTGATGCCCCCCTTCCTGCCCTCCCTTCTCGTGAGCTGCCTAAGTCCACAGAATCAGCAGGGCTATTTTTGGGCAGGAACGCACAGGAACGGAGTTCCGGCTGGCTCCCGAGTTGGCCACGCCCAGCAGGGACTCATTAGCATAATAGGCCACACCCGACAGCAGAAACTCATTAGGATTGGCTACAGTAGGGGTGTGTGGCCTAACATGCAAAGGAGTTCCTGCTACAAAAAAAGGCCCTGGGTTTTGACAACAAACAAGGTAAACAGAATAACAAGCAAAAGGTGGGTGTGGCTGGACGACCACACTTCTGGTAACATGGGGGTGCGGCCTAATGTGCTAATGAGCTGTGCTGTCAGGGGTGTGGCCCAATATGCTAATGAGTTCCTGCTGCTGGGTGTGGCCGGTTATGCTAATGAGTTCCTGCTGGGCTTTTTCTACTAAAACAGCCCTAATCAGCATGGCTGCCAGGTGGCCATCCGGCCTCTACTTAAAAACCTCCGAAGAAAAAGTATGAAGGCCGGAGATGCTGCTGAGATATAATATTGAGGAATGGGGTTGCCAGCTCCGAGTTGGGGGATTCCTGGAGATTTGGGGGCAGAGCCGGGGGAGGGCAGAGTTTGGAAAGGGGGGGGAGCTTAGGAGGGATGAGATACCATAGAGTCCACCCTCCAAGGCTGCCATCTTTGCCAGGGGAAACTCAACTCTGTAGCCTGAAGACCGTTTGTGGTTTTGGGAGCTCTCCAGGCTGCACCTGAAGGTTGGCGTCCGTGTCGAGGAGGTCCCTAAAAGGTGTGTGGCTGGGTCAGAGAGCCCACGCTTTCCTCTACAGCTGAGCAACACTGACCCATAAGAAGCCGCCTTGTTGAGCCTTGTCCCTCAGTGGTCTACTGTGACTGGCCAGTGACTCTGCGGAATCTCCGGCAGAGAGAGGTCTGCCCAATATTGGTTAGCTATTTGTTGGTTTATTCATCCACAGCCTGCCTTTCTCCCCAGTGGAGACTGCAACATGTCCTCTATATTGTTCTCCTCTCACAACAGCCCTGTGTGGTAGGCCGTGCTGAGGGAGCGTGACTTTAAAGATGCCAGTGCCTAATGTTGGGATGTTGTACATGCATGGTGTGCGTTTGGCCCCGAGACTCCCCGTCTCCGTTTAAAGGATCTTAAGGAGTGGATGTTAGCAAATAATTTTTCTGCCTGAATATCTGGCAAACTGCTGCTTGTCAGAGTAGACAGACACCTGGGTGGACCAATGTACTCCTATGAGGCTGCTTCAGATGTTCAGATTTCGTATGGACGGGTCTGTAAAATAGTCACCGTGCGCCACCTGGTGGCAGTCCGTGGTTATCGTTAAAAAGGGAAAGGATGCCGTCAAGTTGCAACCGATTCATCGTGAGCCTCTTGTGGTTTTCGAGGCGAGAGATGTTCAGAGGCGGTTTGCCATTGCCTGCCTCTGTTTTACTGTTACTGTTTTAACTGTTTGAATCTGATCTGTAATTATATTTATTCAGATGTTGCTCACCGCCCTGAGCCCTGCATGGGAGAGGGCGGCCCATAAATTGGATGGATGGATGGACAAACAGATAGATGCAATGCTCCCTCTACGCTGTGGAGTCTTGTGAGCAGTGTTCCCTCTAAGCTGAGTTAGTGTGAGCTAGCTCACAGTTTTTTAGCCTCCGGCTCACACATCCTTGCCTCAGCTCAGGAAGGATGGCTCCAGAGCAAACTGATTTATGCAGTAGCCAAATAACTGGCTCACAACTTTAATGCCAGCAGCTCACAAAGCAGAATTTTTGCTCACAAGACTCCACCGCTTAGAGGGAACATTGCTTGTGAGCATAAAATTGTGAGTGAGCAATTTGGCTGCTGCATAACTTAGTTTGCTCCGGAGCCCTCCTTCCTGAGCTAAGGGAGAAATCTGTGAGCCGGAGGCTAAAAAACCGTGCGCTGGCTCACACTAACTTAGCTTAGAGGGGACACTGGATGGATGGATGGATGTTGGATGGATGGACGGACAGACGGATGACAATCCTGGTTTTCCTTGGTAGTCTCCTATCCGAGCACTAACCCCACCCAACCATGCTTAGCTTCCAAGATCTGATGAGACCAGGGTAGCCTGTCTATCCAGGTCAGGACATAAAAAGAAGAAGAAGAAAAGGAGATTGGATTTATACCCCGCCCTTCACTCGGAGTCTCAGAGCAGCTTATAAACTCCTTTCCCTTCCCGCCCCCACAACAGACACCCTGTGAGGTGGGTGGGGCTGAGTGAGCTCTTTTGAAAACCACTTGTGAGAGAACAGCTCTGAAAGAACTTGTGACTGACCCACGGTCACACCAGCAGCTGCATGTGGAGGCATGGGGGATCAAACCCAGTTCTCCCAGATTGGAGTCCGCGCTCTTAACCACTACACCAAAAACGGTAAAGCATACTATCGAGTTACAATCAATTCATGGCCACCCCATGAAGTTTAATCTCATTGGGATTTTAGAGGCAAGAGATGAGATGAGGTTTGGGGGGGGGGGAGGTTGCCATTGGCTTCCTCCGCATAGCAGGCTCGGTCTTCCTTGGCAGTCCCCCATCCAAGTATTGACCCTCCTTAGCGTCTGAGCTCTGACAAGATCAGGCTAGATCAAGACGGGTCGCCGTGTCAGTCTGCCTGTAGCAGCAGAAAAGAGGAGGAGTCCAGGAGCACCTGAAAGACTAGCACAATGTGTGGCAGGGGAGGCGCTTTCGTGAGTCACCGCTCACACCTCCAGATATCCGAAGAAGTGAGCAGTGACTCACAGGTGCTCACACCTCCCACAGATCTTGTTAGTCTTTAAGATCAGGCTCGAAAGAGAAAGCAGAAGTCCAGTGGTGCCTAGAGACTGACGGCCATGCTTTGGTCTCCCCAAGTGAGACGAGAGCCGTCGCTAGGTGGAGGTAATAACGCCTTCTTTGCCTGCTGCTTAAGCCAAGGAAGGAAGTCGAGCGTCTCTTCCCAGGACTGCTATGTGTGTGTGTGTTCTCTGTTCTGGCGCAGGAGAGAAGAGAAGGAAGCTTCCACGGCTCTGCTTCCCTGCCCTGCTTACTTCAGCGTGTCCGCACCCAAAGCCGAGCTCCTGAACAAAATCAAAGATTTGCCGGAGGCAGTAGGGGGAGACGAGGAACAAGTGGACGTCAGCGAGAAGAAGGTGAGTTAGGGGCGGCCCCAGCATAGCAGACAGCCCCGAGATCAAAGTCAAGGACAAGAGATCACGGCATACCTCCACATTTGGTGGAGGTGTGACAAAATACAAACCTTTTGGAAAAAAATATCTAAGATCTTTTCAGACATACTTAAAATTAATAGGCCAGTAACACCAGAAACGTATTTATTAAATATGATTCTGGATACAATAAAGAACCACAAACACCAGAAGTCATTTCGGGGGGGATCGCAGTTCCCCCGGGTGAGGTACGGGGGGCGGGGCACATGATAAAGCCCCGCCCCCTGCTTCCGGCCGCCCCGCTTCCGGCCCTCATTCAGCCAGGAGGAGGCAGGAGAAGAGGGAGGGTAAGTTGCTTCCTCCCTGCCTCTCCCCACCCCTGCCTGCCTGGGGCCAGGGAGGGCCTTTGTGGGGCTTCCTTGCTCTCCCGCCGGCCTTGCAGGTCCACCGCCGGGCCCCTCATGGGGCTCGGCAGTGGAGCTGCAAGGCCGGCAGCGGCGGCCGGGACCGTTGGGGGCGGGGTGTGTGGCCTTATGACACACTTCCGGTGATGTCAGGGGGTGTGGCCTTATGACACACTTCCAGTGATGTCAGGGGGTGTGGCATATGCTAATGAGTTATGCTAACGAGTTCCCCTAGCTCTTTTTCTACAAAACGACCCCTGACAAACACATAATGGTATATTTACTAACAGCAGCAAGAATTCTCATAGCAAAGCGTTGGAAGTCTAAAGCTATACCATCAACAAGAGAGCTTAAACAGAAGATCCTGGAAACAGCTGAAATGGACAAACTGAGTATGACACTACAGAACAAACCAGAGGAACATTTTTTGGGGCAGATGGGAAGTAATCTACAAGTGGCTGAAGTTGAAGAAGACACAGTAGATTTTGAGAACCTGCTAGTAACAGATAATGGATGATAAAAGAGAAAGGGACATTTTACAATAAGAAATGTATAAGTATTAAATGGATATGTGTACATATCTTTGTGAAATGAAAAAATGAAAATAAATTTATTTAATAAAGGTCAGGGAAAACACTCATGGGTGTCCCTGTTAGGATGTGGGGGGGGGGGGGGGGACAAAAGAAAACCAAGAGTAGGAAAACACCCGTGATATGATAACGAAGTCGTGTTTAGGGCGAAAATAGATCTGCCTTAATAATCCAGCGAGTAACAAGCCAGTAAAGTTGTTTCCTTTCAAATAAATTGGTCTCAAGTCTTTCTGACGGTACAACGCTCAGTAGACCGTTTCACTCAAGGTTTCATCAGATGAGACCGTACACCTTTCTCTTTTTTTCTGCAACCTTTTCTTCTGCTCTTTCTTCCTTTCTAGCTTTCTGCTCTAGTGACTGTTGGTTGGGTGACGGGTGTAGCCAGAAAATTTTGGTTGGTGGGGTGTGGAGAAATCTTGGGGGGCAGCCCGGCTGCACCTGCTGCTCATCTTCTGACTGTGCCTGGGGTCATTTTGGAATGCTCACTTGCATCTTACATTTTAAAAGATATTTTTGTGGGGGGGCAGTGCTTATCTGTGGGGGGCATTGCCCCCAAATGCCCCCATGGCTATGGGCCTGTGACCACATAAGCCCTCTTCTGGCAGACTTTTTTTAACTCCATAGCTAACACGGTATCAGCAAAGGCTGACTTCCACTCAATCTTGCTCCCCCCTTCCAGGCCGAACTCATCGAGAGCTTGTCCCGCAAGCTGGAGACTCTGAAAGAAGCCAAGGAGAGCCTGCTGGCAGACGTCAAGCTCAACAACACCCTGGGAGAGGAAGTGGAAGCTCTGATCAGCAGCTTATGCAAGCCCAACGAGTTCGAGAAATACAGGATGTTCATTGGGGACCTGGATAAGGTGGTGAGCTTGCTGCTTTCGCTCTCGGGACGCCTGGCCAGGGTGGAGAACGTCCTCAGCAACCTCGGCGAAGACGCGGATAATCAGGAAAGGGTACGTACATGGGTGCAGAAAACTCACACTCCGCATGGGCGGTGCTCCCGTCTTCATTCTGAAAGCTCAGTCTTGTTAAGAACATAAGAACATAAGAGATGCCAATGTTGGATCAGGCCAATCCAGTCCAACACTCTGTATCACACAGTGACCAGAAATACCAGTGCCATCAGGAGGTCCACCAGTGGGGCCAGGACATTAGAAGCCCTCCCACTGTTGACCCCCCCAAGCACCAAGATGACAGAGCATCACTTTCCCCAGAGTCCCTATCTATACCTTGTGGCTAATAGCCACTGATGAACCTCTGCTCCATATGCTTATCTAATTCCCTTTTGAAGCCGTCCATGCTTGTAGCCGCCACCACCTCCTGTGGCAGTGAATTCCATGTGTGAATCACTCTTTGGGTGAAGGAGGACTTCCTTTTATCCGTTCTAACCCGAATACTCAGCAATTTCATGGAGTGCTCACGAGTTCTTGTATTGTGAGAAAGGGAGAAAAGTACCTCTTTCTCTACCTGCTCTTTCCCATGCATAATCTTATAAACCTCGATCATGTCACCCCTCAGTCGTCGTTTCTCCAAGCTAAAGAGCCCTAAGCGCCTTAACCTTTCCTCATAGGGGAAGTGTTCCAACCCTTTTATCATTCGAGTTGCCCTTTTCTGCACTTTTTCCAAAGCTATCAGTAAGGGGGTTTTGTACAGCTGACCATCACAGAGAATATTGGCACCTCTGCTGTCCAGGAAAGGGGGCTTATTTCAGCAGTAATGGCTGGCGGTGAAATGATTCACTTTCCTGCCGCCATTTTAATACGCCTGTTGCTCAAGACAAGATGGGAAATATGCCCTGACCTGGATAGCCCAGGCAAGCCCCGTCTCGTCAGGTCTCAGAAGCTAAGCAGGGTCGACTGCGGTTAGTACTTGGATGGGAGACTTCCTTGGAATACCAAGCTGGGAAGACAGAGGCAGGCTTTATTCAGCCACCTCTCTGAATGTCCTCCAGGCCCCCAGTTGGGGTCAGTCACCAGAGGTCAACATGACTTTCAGGTGCAGACTTTTGACTTTGACACGCCTTTATTGGCATATGTATCTGCATACAATAGGAGATCAGGTTAAATATAGATCGGAAAATACAAATCAATATAGGGTACATTTGGAGCTACGGCGCAGGAAAACAGCATAAAAACAGAAAAACCTAGTGGTTACTTATCAGAACATATAGCCATAGCACTAAGAAGAAACCTTGCTACTATTTCTGTTATTTCCGTATCTGGATTATCAAGTAAAAACAGAACCTGAAAATCGTCGGGAATCTCTGGGAATCGAGCTAATATAGGGTACAAAAGACCCCGGCGGGGCACCAAATAAAAGGGACATTGAAGGAGAACACGGGGGACAGTTTCACCACAGTCCTTCATACAAGGACAGCCCCTGCTGGAGTAGGGGATCCCCTGGAATCTGCCAGAGAGAAGAGCAGAAGGAAGAACATTAAATCTGGCCAAGGAGATGATAAAGATACACAGCTGGAAGATTTGCATTCGGAACAGTCCCTAAATTTAGGGGAGAACAGGTTCTGTTAGCCGAACTATAGAGAGTTGGCAACTCCGAGCCCAATAAACTAGATCTTATTTTTTAAAAAGCCTCAGGCTCAGAAAGCATGGATAGAGATTCTAAGGGTAAGTTCAAGGAGCATACTTTGGTTTCAGTACGAGATAGCCAGCTAGAATTGACAGATTCAGGAAGTAATTGACACAGATAACTAGAGGGGTCAGAGTTCAGGTGCAGACACACATGCACACAAATACCCCCCAAAAAACAACAACAACAACCAGAAGATAAGATGGCAAATGCATCCCTGTTGCTTAGTTGTCTGTAAATACAGTGCGGAAGTCAAGTTATTTACTGGTGGGGGAGGGAAGGGAGTGTCTGTTGAGGACCTTAAAGCTCTACGGCCAGTGTTCCCTCTAAGCTGAGTCAGTGTGAGCTAGCTCACAGTTTTTTAGCCTCCGGCTCACACGTTTTTGTCCTCACTCAGGAAGGAGGGCTCCAGAGCAAACTAAGTTATGCAGTAGCCAAATCGCTCGCTCACAACTTTAATGCCAGTAGCTCACAAAGTAGAATTTTTGCTCACAAGACCCCACAGCTTAGAGGGAACATTGGCTACGGCCTGGTGGACACCTGAAGAAGAATAAGGAGGGATGAATGTAGTAGAGCCCTGAGACAATAGAAGGGCTTCTGCCCCTTTAGAGGAGGAAAGGCAGCACGGTGCAGCCCGATCTTCTTAGAGCTGGGAAGCTAAGCAGGGCCGGTACTTAGAGAGGGCTCTGCAGAGGAAGGCCGTGGCAAACCGCCTCTGCTGAATCACTTGCCTTGCAAGCCCCCGCCCCCC